GCAAGGGACAGACAAATGAACCCACAGGGACAAAACATCAAGCCAGAAAAGGGACTGAGTCAGCCAAAGGGAAGAAAATAAAAGCATGAGGTTGATAAAAAAGCAATTTGGATCTTAACTATTTTGTCTAATAAATTCCTGGTGTATTGTAGGCAACTTCCAAGCTCTCTCACTTTATTCAGAGTACTATGGGGTGGTACATGCTACTGCATTCCCATTTTTAACTGAAACCCAAAAACTCTCTTTCCCTAGTGATAAACCCTATTTTTGACAGTGCCATATTTCAGTTTGATGAGCAGTGTTAAATGCAGCACAAACAGCTTGCAACTTCTATTTTCCCTGGCAGAGGCCTTTGGAAAGGAACTCTGCACAGGGCACCAGGAAAGGTATGACTCTCCCTAGATAACCTTCTCTTCTGAGGATGAATGTATTTTTAGGCAATGCAGCCACCCAATCTTAAAAAATGCAGCCTGATTTATGACTCTGTCGTCACCACTTAAAGATCAGAAGCTGAACTACCTTAAAGCACAGCTGTGATGCCCCAAAGATGGGGTACCTGAACATTCATTCAAGAGTTTTCATGCCACTGTACACTGTGTCATCTCCTCACTTTTCAGGGCACAAACTGGTTGTTACCTTTTGGTGATTAAGAAATTCTGTGTCCAGGGAAAGTAAATGAAGCTGGGGAAGAGTCTGGAGCACAAGTCTGATAAGGAGCAGCTGAGGGAGCTGGGGGGGCCCAGCCTGGACAAAAGGAGGCTCAGAGGGGACCTTCTCACTCTCTCCAGCTCCCTGACAGGAGGCTGGAGCCCGGTGGGGGTCAGGCTCTGCTCCCAGGGAAGAAGGGACAGGACAAAAGGAAACAGCCTCAAGTTGTACCAGGGGAGGTTTAGGTTGAATATTGGGAAAATTTCCTCCCTGAAAGGCACCGGACCAGGCTGCTCAGGCAGCGGTAGAGTCACCATCTCTGCAAGTGTTCAAAAGACATGTGGATGTGGCACCTGGGGACATGGTTTAGTGGTGAACATGGCAGTAATGGGTTCACTGTTGGACTCAATGATTTTAGAGGGCTTTTCCAACCTTAACAATTCCTTGATGTCATTCCGTGATTCTCCCAGAAGCTGTGGCTGTAGGAGTACAGCACTTTACTGTGTGGGTTGGATCTACCTCAGTTATCCTATAAAACAAACCCAGGCTGCTTCAGGCACTATTGCAGTCCCAACCCTTTGCTCCATGCTCTCCAGTAGTGATGTCCTAGCTAGGGAAAGTATCAATCCACACATGAATCCTCTCTTTCTTCCCCTCAGTCTCCAGATTTTGTTCCAGTGTTGAGACCTCAATGATTCTTCCAAGAGTCTCCAGACTGCTGTGACCAGAGTGCTCTGTAACGTATTCCCCTGGATGGTTTTAGGACTGTCTGAAAATTTTGCTGCCTCTGCTTTGCTAAGACTGTACACAACCTTCAGAAGGGAGGAAAGGGCAAATTTGCTGAGCAGTAACTGAAAATTTCCCAACCCTTTTGACATATCGCTCTTCCGAGCTTTATAAAGCAGCATCCAAGACATACCTGCAATTTTACAGCTGTGGCTCAGAAGGAAAAATAACTTAAACCAGGATCTCCTGGAGAGGTTCCAGCCTCCACCTAAGGCAGAGACACCACACAAAGTACCTGACTTTTCAGGAAGCAGCTTCTGAATAAGCACAAGTGCCCAGCACCCGAAAACAAGTAAACAGCATGTGCTGAGGTACTTGCAGAGTACTGTAAATGACATGAGTTATTTCATGAGCAACTCACTTCTCCTTGGAACAGGCCAAAGGGAAAGAGGGTAAATCATCAAAGGGCAGACAGAGGATAAACAATCTTTGCTGTTATCCTTTGTGAACTGTCCTTGAAGACAAACAAGCACTACTATTATTATATTTGGAGATGCTTTCCCAACTAGAAGCAGCAGACTTCTTCCCCTTAAGACTCAATTTTCATACAAGTTTACTCTTCCATTGGCTCTGTCACTCAGGAGACAGAGGGAGCAGTACATGCCCATTTCCCACCACTTGCAAACACTAGAGAAGTTCAACAGCCACCAACAGTTCACTTCACCAGCTGGAAGCAGCTTTCTCGATGATTTCTAAATGTTCACTCACATTTAAGTAATGTCTCCCTTTCCATTCTGCATTTGACACAAAACCATTGCCAAAAATAATTCACTGAATACAGTCTAAGTTAATAACTGAAAATAGGGGACTGATGTTCATCCAGCAGCAACCTGCAGGCACTGAGGGAGATAAAGTAGAGCTGAAGTCACCACCCAGGTGATTTCACACCAGACACTGGCTGTGGTGCAGGTCTGTGCTGCACCCGGTGCCTCCAAAGAGGACGATGACACAGGCTGGAGGCTCAGGAATACCACTTGTAATTTAAAAGGTTATTTTCAAAATACAGCTTCGTGGCTATAAATAGCAGAAGCAGCTTCTCACCCAGCAAGCACACAATGGGTCTTAGTCACAGTGGCCCAGATACCAGAGAAAGTGTAATTTTATCTTTGTGAACAACACACAACGTTTGGGGCCACGTTGTGTTTCAAATAAACTAACCCAATTTGCAAGACTGGTCTTAGGTTTTGTGGAAGCAGCTGCCACCTCTGACAAATTAAGTCAATTGACATTGTTAACCCTTCCATTATCTAAAAAGACCTGTTTGCTCGTCCAGAGCAAGTCTCACTTAATATTAAGTTCTTTAATAAAAAAAAAAAAAAAAATTTACTTGATTTTTCTTTCAACAAAGCCAGCTCTTTTTAACATGTAGGATTTCCTTCCTTATTATGTGGCCCTTTGGTTTCACATCTATTAAATGAGAGCAGAGGGTCACCACCATCACAATGTAACATTGTGATTCTAACACTGAGAGAAGTTACTGAAATATCCTCACGGGTACTACATCGTTCCATTTCTCAACCAGAGCTCTGGGGACCCCCAGCCTAACTGGTCTCGGCTGACACTTTACCATAAGGCACTATTATTCTCCAAGTAATATGAAAACAAACATATTTTGGCCAGGTTCACTGATAAGGAACTCATAACAACCTCCCCAACCACGCTAATAAACATTTTCATCTGATACAGATTTACAGACTCAGGATACACATGTACAACACAACCTCTAACAAAACAGCCTTTGTTCCATTTGGGTGTGCAAGAACATCTCGCCACTGCTCAGCAAAAATGTTAATGCATCCATGGGACATTGGAACAAAGTTTTTATTCCAGTCACAGTAAGGTCACCCTCCCTTCCTGTCAAGTTAGTGAAGAAACCCTTCACGTAAGCAGCTGGCTGGCACTGCCAGCATCTGCTCCGCTGCTCGCTCATCCAAACGCTCTTCCAAGTATCAAGCCCTTGGTGTTACTGGTCAGTGTCACCCGATACTGTGATCCTAAGACACATAATAACACAATTCTGTACCCTTTACATAGGCAGAATTAAATGTGCAGCCTGCCTGTCACTACATGGCCCGCCATGGGCTCCAGCAGCATGACCTTGCTGAGCTCATCGCCCGTTGCTGGACAAGTCCAATGCACTTCACCAGACACCTCTGGCCAAAGGTCACATTACCTCCATCAGCAAGGACCTGGGCAGTTCTGAGGAGATCACAACCAATCCTGGCTGGAAAGCCCTCATGAAGTCATCCCAACTCTACCATGCTTCTATCCACCTTAAATTCAGCCTTCTTGGTTGTCAAAATGCTTTTCAGTAACTGGCTCTTACCAGCATCTATAGGACTACTTATTTATCTGCTAATAAATGGACAAATGCCAGACTGGAGAGTACTTGTGCAGCGTAACTTATTTGCTACCACTACACCAAAACCCACAACCAACCAAAAGAAAGCTGAGCCATCACAAAGTTCACTGCTTTGCCAGCTGAAGTCTTATTCAACCTGAGGATCTGTGAGCTCTCACACTCTTTGCTTCATAACTTATTTTTGGAAGTCCAGAATAAAATGTATCAAGTCTTCTCTCCCCTTGTTCCCTGACAGCCAGGAGCCAGTGAGCTCCTGAACCGGCTGACACATGTCCCAAATGCTTCAGTAACACCATCCCAGCGAAGAAGAAATCCTGATCAGCTATTTGTCCTGCTATTTGTGCTATTAACATGCTATTCTTTACAAACATTATTTCCAGATGTTATTCCTGATGGTGCTTCTTTCCCGGTCCTGTTGCTACACCACATTCTTAATCTACAAGATCTTGAGCTAAGAAAATTTTCTTCCTGAGGCTGGCCCGGATCCAAACCGGATTCATTTCACTGACCAGATGCACCAATGTGGGACATTGATTTCTCAACCCCTGCTAAATTCTCTATCAGTCTTAGATAGCAACAGGTTTCCCAATATCTGGAATGGCAATTTCACATGCTTCCTCGCATTCCTGCTCATTTACACAAGGACGGCAAAGGCTATGGATGAAACACAGCACACGTTTCTCAACAGCCAAGGCTTTACCACTCCATAGCCAATTCCTGGGACCACTTTGTACTATCTTCAGCACATTTGGCTGAATATTAATAGAATCTATGTCGCTTATCGGCGATGAGGGCACTCTCTGCTCCCTGCCAAAGGAGCAGTTTGAGGAGTTTCAAGGCAACTCTGATAAAACACAACACAGGGGTTGACCAGACACTCCTGACCTTGCAAATCCACATTCCCCTGGGGAAATTTTCCCAGCATCGCTGCTATTTCAGCAGACCCCAAAAGCACAAAGGCAGAAGTTCTCCAAAAACTAACAAACTGGCCAGCTGGCCAGCAGCCCTGACAGCCCCTCGATCTTTATTCTGCTAATTAAGCTTCTTAATAACCCTGCAAAAGCCCGGTACATCACGCTGCCCGACTGGAATAGGCCAGCCGGGGCCGTGCCGTGACAGCGGCTGAGCGGGGCTCTGCTCGCAGCGCCCTGTCACCCTTTGTTTACCGACAGCCCCGGCTCCGCGGAGCCCCCCGGCCCGGTACCTGGTGCAGGGCTGTCAGCCCGTCCACGTTGGTCGTGTTGATGCGGGCGCCGCGGCCCAGCAGCCGCTTCACCTCCTCGGTGTCCCCGCTGGAGCAGGCGGCCAGGAACACGGCGCCCTCCTCGAAGCGGACGCGGGATCCCCCCGCGCCGCGGTGCCGGCCGCGGCCGCCCCCCGCCGCCACCGGCTCCTGCTCGGTGAGGGAGCCCTTCCAGCGCCGCAGCTGCTCGGCCCGCCGCAGCCGCGCCGACTCGGCCCGCTTGCCGCCCAGGTGCTCCGGCTCGGACATCGCCGCCGCCGCTCTGAAGGGCCGCGCGGGGGCCGCGCCGCGTTCAGCCCGGAGCGGGGCGCAGCGTCCCCGCCGCCATCTTCGCTACGCCCCCCCCGCCGCCACAGCCGCGGCCACGCCCCCGCCCCGAGGCACCCCGGGACATGTAGTTCGAGGGGGGCGGTCCCGCACCTGCCCCCCGGGGCGGCCGCGGCTTCCCGGCGGCCTCCGCGCGCCGCCGCACCTGGGCGCGACCGGGACTACAACTCCCGGCGGCCCCCGCGCGCACGGGGCGGGGTCGGGCTGGGCACGGCGCCATCGCTGCGCCCTCACACGGGTCCTCCTGCCCACCGCCGAGTGACGGAATGCCAGAATGCAGGAATCACTGAGGTTGGAAAAGACCGCCGGGACCAGCGAGCGCAACCTGTGACCGATCCCCGCCTTTTCAAACGGACCAGAGCACTGAGTGCCACATCCAGTCGTTGCTTGGACACCTCCAGGTGACTCCGACACCTCCCTGGGCAGCCCCTGCCAATACCTGACAACGCTTTTCGTGAAGAAATTCCTCCTGATGTCCAACCTGAACCTCCCGTGGTGCAGTTTAAGAATATGTCGTCTTGACCTGTCCCGGGAGGGAGCAGAGCCGGACTTGCCCCCTGGCTCCCCCCTCCTGTCGGGGGGTTGCAGAGCCAGAAGGTCCCCCCTGAGCCTCCTTTTCTCCAGGCTGAGCCCCCCCAGCTCCCTCAGCCGCTCCTGGTGCTCCAGACCCTTCCCCAGCTCCGTTCCCTTCCCGGCACTCGCGGTGCGGAGCTCCTCGAGCAGCAGGTCCGGCAGCTGCAGCTCCAGTCAGACACCAGTGGGTTCATGGAGGAGCTGCCAGAACCTGTAAAGTTCCAAGTAAGGACTAAGCAATAATCATCAGTAGGGCTGGAAGAACTCTGGGACCCTACCACAAGGAACTTTAAAAACAAAATAAAAAATCAAAATCACGGTGATGTGAAAGTTCCCTGAAAACAAATTCATCCTCCTTGGAAAACCTCAGAAGGCAAGAAGGTTTCTCAGAACTTCAGGCAACTCTTCCACTGCATTAATACAAGATGCGTGCACGATTAGAGGCATTAGAGAAGAAATAGTATGAGAACCTTTGCTTCTTTGGGCATTTAAAGGTGTATTTAAAGAAGCCCTGGGAAAAAAAAATAGTTGTGGACAAATGCATGTGATAGAAAAAATTTAGTATTTCAGTTCCTGGTCTCCCCCGGTTCACCCGAGCCCGGCCGTGGCCCAGGAGGCGAGTGGGGTTGGAGCAGAGACCCCCCGGGACACGGGTCTCCCTCTGGCACAGCCCCCCGGCTGCTCCCTTCCAGCTCCACCTGCTGCAGCGGGGAAGCTTTGGGATGAGATGTTTGCATTGGCTTCGTTGCGCCTTCCCCGAGCCCCCTCTCGTGGCTGCGCGTCCGTCCCGTCCCGCTGAGCGCCCTGCGCTGCTGGCTCTGCTGGGGTGGTGCTGAGCATCACTCCCGGCACTCAGCCCTGCTGGGCTTCTTCTGAGCCGAGGGGCTGCTCCTCTTCTGCAGGTTATCCTCGAGTACTCAGCTGCCAAAACGGAGGATTTGCCTCAAACTGTTCATTGGAGGAGTCTCAGTTACGGCCAGGCTGCCAAATGATCAGTGGCAAATCCCCCAGGCCAGGGGGCGTTTGCTCATCAGCCTGAAAACAACTCCAGGAGTTTTCAGCAGAGTTCCAGGAAAACCCCCAGGAACTGTTTGGCTTTGGCATTCCATCCCTGACTGCCACAGGAACCCCCAGGAAAAGAGACAAACACACCCAGTCAACTTTCACGGAACTTTTAATCAAAATAATATTTATCAATAAACATATAAAATCACAGAGGAAAATTTTAAATCCTAAATTTTACAACTCAACAGTATTAATACTTAAACATATTTACAAACAGTCTAAAAACAGAACAATGGGAACTTTTTATCAAAATAACATTTATCAATAAACCCATTATAAAATCACAGAGGAAAATTTTAAATCCTAAATTTTACAACTCAACATTACTAATATTTAAACATATTGACAAACAGTCTAAAACCAGAACAATGGGAACTTTTTTTAAAATAACATTTATCAATAAACACATTATAAAATCACAGAGGAAAATTTTAAATCCTAAATTTTACAACTCAGCGTTACTAATATTTAAACATATTGACAAACAGTCTAAAACCAGAACAATGTGAACTTTTTATCAAAATAATATTTATCAATAAACCCATTATAAAATCACAGAGGAAAATTTTAAATCCTAAATTTTACAACTCAACAGTATTAATACTTAAACATACTTAAAAACGGTCTAAAAACAGAACAACGGGAACTTTTTTTAAAATAACATTTATCAATAAACATATTATAAAATCACAGAGGACAATTTTAAATCCTAAATTTTACAACTCAGCATTACTAATATTTAAACATATTGACAAACGGTCTAAAACCAGAACAATGGGAACTTTTTATCAAAATAACATTTATCAATAAACATATTATAAAATCACAAAGGAAAATTTTAAATCCTAAATTTTACAAATCCTAAATTGTAAAATATTTTAAAAATATGTTAATATTTAAACATATTTACAAACAGTCTAAAACCAGAACAATGGGAACTTGAATACAAAACAAACTTCTTATCTTTTACGTAACAAACTCTACTTAAGTAACAAAACCTACAGCAGCCTATCTTCCACGAAACAATAGCTACAATTAAAACTAACTCCAAAAATTTAACACTCAACACTTGAAGAACTGGAAACTCAAAATGATAACTCGTCTTCCAAACTTTGTGTTTTCTTCATCAACGTTGACGTGGTCTTTTCCTTTTAACTGTGTTACACTGATCTTCGTGATCAGAACAATCCGCCCGTAGACGTCTCTGCCAATGAGAAAAAGGAAACCCTCACTTTGACAAGATACCCACCAATGTGCAATTTTAGTACACCCCCCCCCACCCCAGCCAACCTGTCGGGACACCCAAGCTGGCAGCAGCGGGAGATCCTGGGATCTGGGAGATCCTTTGGCATTCCAAGACCCTTGGTCTGGAGAGTGGTTTTGAACCTCAAGCTGCAAAAGGTACTGGAGGTTCCTTGCTCCTCTGGCTGTGGCCTCACAGTTGTTTCAAAATCCCTTTGGAAGCCTCCAGCTGGACAGGCAGCTGACGTGCCCCCTGAGATCCCTTTGGCTGCTCAGCCTTAGGGGTGGGCAATCAAATTCCTGCCACACTTCGCTGGAGCTGCTCAGGAGCTCACGGGCTGGAGATTCCAATAGTGCACGACTGTGTCAGGCACTACAGAGGTGTCACTGACTGCCTTTGTCTGCTTAAAAACACTTAGTAATTCCCCAGCTAGGGGGCACTGACACAGTTCCCCAAAATCCTAATCCCATCTGTACCTCACACACAGCAGCACCTGGGCAGGGACAAAGCCAAGGAGTGGCACCAGTTAAATGACGCAGAAGATGCGAGATCAGACTGTGCCACCAGATCACCAACAGACTCCGGCCCCACCCAGTCTTTCCTTAACCCTTCCCCCAAAGCAGCCAGGGTTTCCCTAAGCAGGTCTTGGGGTGAGTTTCTCCCTCCCTCAGCCCCCTGCCTGTCACACCCGGTACAGCCCCGCGAGGCAGCTCCGCTGTCCCACGCCAGGACAGCACCTCACACCAGTTCTCCCACCTTGGGGGCCGCCACCGCTGGCCTCGGGGTCTTCTTCTTTGAAGAGCAGCCACGGCATGGGACACTGTAAGAGAGACAGGACAAGTGATTCCAGCTTTGCTGCTGTTTCAGACTCAGCCAGGATCAGAAATGCCTTGCCTAGCTTTGGAAGGAATTGGGCACATTTGAGAAGGCAATCCAACTCCACCCCCAGTTCTGCCCTCACCATAAGACTCACTAACACCCCATTTGGCACTGAGGCAGACTGAATCCTAACTCAGGGGACAAAACAAGAAATTTTCATCAAGAATGAAACCCAACCCCAGTCCCAGCCACCCGCTCCTGCTGCCCTCTGAGAAATTAAAAATCAAGGACCGGCCCTGCAGAATGGCAGTCCCTGGCAGGCTCAGGACACAGGAACTGAGGCCTACCTGTTCACTTTCTGCTCTTGTTGGTGCTTTTCTTTCTCATATTTGGGCTTCAGTCCAAAAGTCTGAACGTAGTCAATAGTTCCAAGTGCCTGACAGAACTTCTCCACTAGATGTCCAATAAGGGACTTGCCATCTTCCTGCAGAAGAACAAACTGGGGTTTCAGTCTCAAATGGTCACAGGCAGAAGTTCAGAAACCTTTGCGTTTAATTTGGAAAGGAACTGATTCCATGGCCAGAGCCAAAACACTATTGTAAAGAAAAGTTGTGAAGCAACTGGATTTACCCTTAATAGAAAAGCTGAAATCTAGAAATAATTATGAAGCTTTGCATGGAAATGGACAACAAACTCAGCAGTGCTGTTTGTGACACTGCCATTAAACCAGGATGGTGCAATCTGGGAGAGCCACATTTTGCCTTTTGCCCTGAGAGGTCCCAGACATGTCAGAGCTGAAGCTGCTGCTGAACTCACCAGTCTGATGAATTCCAACAGCTCAAACACAGCCGAGGTGAGCAGATGGTACACAGCTCCATTTTCCAACACAGCAAGTAAAAATGGTTCAAGGAGGTTTCCCCGGGCCATGTAACAGTTATAGTGCTCATCTCTCAGGCCAATTATCTTCCTTATAAACTTAAAAGCACCTGTATGAAGAGAGAAATTTAAGCATTTAATAGCATGCCCGGGTTCCAGTCCAGAAATTCATTCCCATGAATTCTGAGTTCAGGTGTCCACTGACACTGGAACACCCTCGACACAGGACACGCGAAGCCTCGAAGAAGGAAATCACCACAGTTCTGTACTCACTCAAGGCCAGAAATGTGTGTTTGGAATTCATCAAGACCGGGACTCTTCTTAGCAAATCCCTGCTGATAATGTA